GGTAGAGGCCTTGCGACTAGCTGATCACCCGCCCAAGGAGTCCTACCGAATGTGTAAAATCTAGAAAAACCGAAGTGAACGGAGAAGTTCATGGAGGTAGGCCTAGGCCCACTGGGGCTGTAGTGCGAAGGGGGGAAAAAAAAGATGATTATATTTAGCAACACTTCTTTTACAATCTCTCTTAATCACCATCATCAATTATAGTGCTGTTGCTAATCTACCGTTAGGATATGCTCCATTCTCGTCCTTGTACTCTTCTGTCCTTCTACTCTCAAATACTTCAGTTTCGGAATCCGCTTCTCTTACAACCACTTTGCACGGATCCAACGGAGAACACAGCCTGTATTATTGACGAAGCTTTTTTACCGGTCTGTTGCCTATTGTTGCGTGGACGTGTGTTGCGCGAATGGGTTTACCAAGCCCTTGCTTAACAACAGGTATAAAGTTAAAATATACACACTTCCTACATTGATAATGTTATGTTGGCAACTCTCTAATGTTAAAATATAATGCTAGAGTTGGCAAAGTTGTAGTAAACAATTTTCAATTCCTAATTTCTCTGTTGTCCTGTGTTACTACAGTTATCTGTGTAAAAACAGAATTTCTCTCTTGATATGGGTTACCATGGTTATGTGAGTGAATATATGTAAAACATTTTTTGAGTATCAAAANATTGTTCGAAGCCTTGTATGATAACGGGAAAACCAGGCTGTTGAGAAAGGCGTTCCATTAGCGGTCCTCAAAAGGCCTATTTAAGGGGGTTGAATGTATTAGACAGACAGTAAAATATGTTCGCGAGTCCCAAAGGACTCGGACCCGAGAAAGACTGCTCTGGCAAGGGCCAGCAGCATATACAAAAGACAGACCCGTCCTCTCGTCAGAGAAGGCGCCCCACAGAAACAAGACCGTAGCTGTCAAACGGTAATAATTAATATCTGGTCATGAGCCCCAAATGGGGCTCGACACCAAGATTTACTGACTGACTGACCGTCAGTCGCAGTGTGACTTTGACTTTGACTTTGAAAAGTTAGTCTTAATAAAGCAGGGTTAGATTGAACACTGATTCTTACTTATCATTAGATCCACGTAAAGTGAAAATAATAGATAAGTCATGCAGTTTCTTACAAACGTGTGAGTCCGTTCATATTTCTCTGTTGATTACGCTGATATGTCTGAGTTAATTTGCTGAATAAGGCCAGTGAAGCGCATTGTGGCGTCATAGGACATATTATGAATGAATACTGAATTCTGAAAGTCCTGAAACTACGTAGTCGTAAAAAACTACCGCAATGTTTCCTTGGGGTTAAAAAAGTAAAAGTAAAGCTATCCCTGTAACAGGCCGTGAAGGCCCATAGGTTTGTGAGACGTTGAGGGTCCCACATTATCTAGACAATCGGCTCAAAGATGGCGGTAAGGTTGTCAGCCTTACGCGCCGGCCGCGCTTTACTCCTTGGGAAAATTATTTATTTAATTCCTGGTACTCATTTCTGTTAGAGGCTGAGTAAAACCCAGGGCCTAGTGCGGCTTGAAGGATTAGGTGAATTGAAAGAAATCCAATGACCTCGTCGGTATTTGAACCCGCGACCTTCTGACTTGTAGCATAGTTCCTTAACCACTACGCTACCGCTTGGCCCCCGTTTTCTTGGGGTATTGAATAAAATTCCAGCGAGGTCATCCAAGAACCAGTTATTCAGCCGGTGCAGAAATTCCGAGTTTTAGGGTTTAACATCTTGTTCTCAAAAACCATTTCCATCTGAGCTAGTTCAGTTCACAACTTCAAACACAATTTATCTGACATTATGTTTTAATATTATCCTTCTATCTGATTCCAAGTTCTGAAGTTGTCAATTTCTCTCGGATTTCCAACGAAACATTTAAATAAATTTGCCATTTAATTAAGCTTACCACATTTCCTTTAAACGCACGTCTTTTGTTTTATTCAACCCAAGTTAAATGGTAAATACATGTTCTTTTCGAAATTTTTCAACACTGAGCAGTCTCCTTTTTGTCCTCAGCAACGTCAGAACACGACAACACCTATACCCTTCTTTAAAAAGTAAAATGTTAAGCATTACCGTTAAGTCTAACCTGAGTTAGCACAGCAACCAGCATCATCAGGCCACTGAACGCTGCTATTCTGCTTCTGGAATCCGAACCACTCAAACTCGTGTGTTTATTCACCCTAATGTGTATTTACACTCATCAATCATTCATCAATCACCTGCCTCTTATAAAAATCGCATATTAATCCGTCTTCTCCGTAAGAACCTATCTCTCGGTTTCAACAACAAACATCGTCCTTCCTCGCAAATGTTCATCAACAAATTTCATGACACATCCTTCCATTTATGTCCCGGGAAAAATGTCGGTTTCATTTTCAAGCTCTGTGCTCTAGTTACAAACAACAGTAAAATGTGTACTCTAATGGAATATGGAGGCCGCGCCATATCTCAAGCGGTTAGTCGCTAGCTTCCCATCGCGGCGGCCCAGTTTCGATCCTGGGTCTGGTCAAGTGGAATTTGTGGTGGACAACGTGACGCTGGGACAGCTCTTCTCCGAGTGCTTCGGTTTCCCTTACCAATCTTCATTCCACCAATTTACCATGGTCGTAATCACCCGAGGCTAGCTACAATAGGCCAATCAGTGGCCGCCCTTCCGAGTGGACAAAGTTGGACTCCACCCCCACTAAGCGAAATTAATTTTTTAATGGAATATGTGTGATTTGCAAGTATTATTTGCTACTTTGTACACGTCATTGACCTTGATGTCCGACGGTTATATATAGAATACAAGTCTAATTTCAATGTTCTTAGTGCAGTACAGATATCACATTATATAGAGTAATAAATTAAACTTCTATTTCGAAAATTTTATAACATGCGAAGAAAGAGGCCTACATTATATTTCTGCATACACGATCATGGAAAAGTTTCAGGACAAATCTCCCACCTCTGTTCTAGATCAAATGAAAGTACAATTTCAAAATTCTTTGATATCATTAAATATAAGAGCAAATTTGTTTTCTTGCTACTTTGAAGAGATCACTATGTCGATTTTAATTGATTCCAGGATACCGTTGTAGTGCAAGTCCTGATAGTGTCATTAGTGTCTTAAGTAAGCCAGTCTTCTTGCTTGTATTTAATTCAGGGTTAAAATTATCGAAAATAAGCGGAATAGGGTTGTGAATCTGAATTATTTTTATATTTGCCATACATGTTTCGTACAGTTAGCTATTTATGGGGAATTCTATACCGTTTAAGTAGGAAAAACACAGTCTCCATATTTTTCTTTTAATTCGCTTGGTCGGGGGTGGAGTCCAACTGGTTCCACTCGGCACGGCGGCCACTGATTGGCCTATCGTACCTGCCCCGGGTGATTATGATGATAGAAAATTTGGCGGAATTAAGATTGGCAAGGGAAACTGAAGTACTCGGAGAAAACCCGCCCCAGCATCACTTTATCCATCACAAATCCCACTTGACCAGACCCGGAATCGAACCCTGGCCGCCGCGGTGGGAAGCCAGCGACTAACCGCTTGAGCTATGGCGCAGCCTCAGTCTCCATGTTAGCTGAAACTAAATTCTCTCAAAAATATATAGCGAAGGCCTGTAATACCAGATCCCATCAAAATCTATTCCGAAATTTCTTAGGTACATTAAGATTGATACGACCTCCCGCAGTTCTATAATGTGTTTATTTCGTGTCTTTTCCGCAAAGATTATACGGAATTGTATGAAGCTTGGCGGATAGCGTCCACTACATACCAACACTGCAATTCCGCTGCCATATCTAGGAGACGCCCTTGTTATCACAAGCAAAGTTTGTCAACCAGACATGATCGTAGTATATTCTCTGGTGCAAGGTAATACCAGAACTTACACTTTTTGTTAACTTGAAAATTTGCATTTCAACCATTCTTTCCCTAAAATACATAAATTATATTATAATGGGCAGCAGATCATGCTCTTCTGGCATATAACGCCGTGTGGTCTTTCAGTCAGTAACCAGCATTTCGGAGGAACATCCTGCCTCCATCTTCCAGGTTGAAGAATAAACTGTACGATGCAGACATGAATATTAAGATTACATTCTTCTGGGATGTAACCCCTAGTAGTCTGGTAGGCAGTTACCAACAGTTTCGAGTAATATGATGCACCTGTCTTCAGGGTACAAGAATAGGACGAAAGTGGGAAAAATATTGCGGACATAGGTAAGAAATTACTGTATGGTCGCTCCATAGCTCAGGAGGTTAGCTGCTGACTTCCCAACGCGGCGGTCCGGTTTCGAGACCAGGTCAGATCGTGTGGGATTTGTGGTGGACAAAGAGGAACTAGGGTAGGTTTTCTCCGAGGACCTCGGGTTTTCTGCCAATTCTTATTCCAAAGACTGCTCCACACTCATCCGGGGCTGGTAAAATAGGGCAGTTAGTGGCCGACGCACCAAGAAGACTCAGTCTCTCACCCCAGCAGAAAAACGAAAGAGAAAGAGATTATTCTGGGATGTGATACCATATAGTTAACAAGTTTCATAGAAACCTGCTGCCACCTTCTTCAAGGTACGAGATCAGGCCTAAGCCGAGAGCGGATGTATTCCTCAGTGAGTAACCCATCACATCATGCATATAAGCAGAAAGCACAAGGGCCGCGCAATAGCTCAAGTGGTTAGTCGCTGGCTTCCCACCGCGGCGGCTCAGGTTCGATCCCGGTGTCTGGTCAAGTGGGATTTGTGGTGGACAGAGGGACGCTCGGACAGGTTTTCTCCGAGTACTTCGGTTTCCCCTGCCAATCTTCATTCCACCAATTGCTCCACAATCACCCTCACCTATTATCTGGGGCTGGTACAATAGGCCGAAAGTGGCCACAGTACAAGGGACTTTGTCCCACCCCATTAGCATTAAAAAAAAAAGCAGAAAGCACTCTCCATAGACACCTCTTTCAGCAACTCATGTCTCATTTGTAATGGATATACGTCCGTGTCTTTCTCTGTCCCTGTGTATATTCTTTCACTGAGAATGTTTTGTTATTACGAGAAGTTCTATGTTTCTGTTTTCGCACATTCAGTTCACCGTCTACTCTCAAGGCTTGACGGACTTACAGCCTGAGATATACACAGCTCCGCATTACTCCGAATCCGAACGCGATCACGTGTGTCGGTTTAGTATCACGGAAATCGCCGAACAGCAGTCGAAGCTAGTAGTATGTCGAGAGTGATGTACGGTTGTGCTGTGCGTGTGAAAGTGTGTAATAATAATTTCTGTTCTATGAAATTAATAAGTCGAGAATGTAGTGTACTGTGAAATTACTTTCTGTGTTATATATTATAATAGGCAGTCGTTGAGAACAGTGGTGTATAGTTAATTAAAGTGCTGTGTGGTGCAAACTACGTACTTCACCAGCACAGCTCTTTAGCTGTACTGGTAATGTGATGCAACGTGTCCAGTTCAGCAGCGATAAGATTTCTGTCGGTAAGTGGTCGTACATGTCATGTTTTAAAGTGCACAGGCACCCAAAAGCCTAGAGCTTGCCCCTGCCCGTATTTTCATAAAGATCAGAAACGCAAAGGAAATAATATTCGAAATATTAATACCAATATTTAAGATAATTTTCAAATATGGCGCAGTGTATGGACAGCCATAATTCTAAGCCAACAAAAATATTTTTAAACAGCTTAAATGTAAATTTATAAGCAATATTCTTGTGGCAAACCACCTAAGGATGGAAGTGTTCAGAATGTAAAAATTCTATTGCTGTTATTTCCTTATTTACGCATGTGATCTGTTTTATAAATGAAATATCAAGCGGTTTATTACAACATACTGCTGAAGTTAACAACAAGTAAATTGTGAAATGCCCGCCTTTTGAATATAACAATGGTGCGGTTCGCTAACCAGTTTTTTTAAGATAAATGTGAAATTATTTGGCATTGAAATAAGTCATGAGAAGTCAGTATCGAAATGAAGAGACAACCCTAATTTTACTTAAAAAACTTCTAAGAAATTTTATATAAATATTTCGAATTATGTATTACGAACTTTGCAGTAGTAGTACCTGAACATGTTGGCCTTATGCCTTCTGAAGATGGTCAGCTGACCGAAACATGTAAACGCAGTAAACATACACAAATTGAATTACACTGGAGTGTGTTAACAAATATTCTATAATTTAGTTTACTAGCTTGAAGGATCAGAATGAATAAAGTAAAGAAACAAGCCTGTAATAATGTCTTCATACTTTTCTACACTGTTCTTTACTGAATGATGATAATGTAGCATATGAATCCCAACCCCCCACTCCAGTATAAGTTCAATAACAAGAATTTAAGGGATTATTTTGGATATATGGATGTAAATGGCAGGGTATTATTAAAATAGACATTCTGGACCACGTTTATCTCACTCAGATTAGGACGGAACTCAATCTTGAGTTCCATGAAAGGCAGGGAAGATCTTAACAAGATCATAGACTATCATTTTCTGAAGCAACACTTAACGCCATGGGGTTTGTTAATAAAACTAAAGGAGACAGCCACAGTGAAGTAAGCCAAAACACAGTTTATTCATTTCAGCTCATTACCTCTTCCTGAGTCCTTACAGCCTGATGTGAATTGTGCCATCGTTTTCCTGAGATATTAAAATGACTACTAGGATTTTACCGCAAAAAAGACCAGGGATACTTACTCGCTCATACTTTCATGTGTAAACATATAATTTACAGTTTTACTCGCTTTCAAATACAAAGCCGATGTGGTTTGTTACAGAACAGGGGTTGGCAACTGTGTTCTACTTTAGTCTGATATATTTACTTCATATTGACTGTGGGCTTCAAATGTTCGCTGGATAGTTTCTGTCTGTTTTGCACTCACCAAATATGTTTGATAGATACACCAATAAGATTAAGAAATCAGAGCTTTGCTAATGAATGCGGACTGTGATTGGCGTCCTCACTATGAAAAGGCACGAATTAAACGGAATCTTGATTGGACCCATTCTGCATACTCATACCGGGATAATTCAATCCATATAAAGGAGGTAAATATGTACAACACCGGTCACTGTAGCCGAGCGGTCTAAGGCATGCACTGTCTTCGCTTGCTTGGAAACCGGGATCGTGGGTTCTAATCCCACTCAGGGCATGGATGTTTAGTTTGTGTGTGTGCGTTTTTCTGTGTTTGTGTACAGGTAGAGGCCTTGCGACGAGCTGATCACCCGCCCAAGGAGTCCTACCGAATGTGTAAGATCTAGAAAACCCGCAGTGAACGGAGAAGTTCATGGAGGTAGGCCTAGGCTCACTGGGGCTGTAGTGCCAAGGAAAGAAAAACATGTAAAACAGGAACGTAAAAATTTGCATGTCATTGAAAATGTAAACTTTTATTTTCTTCTTTTTAATTATTAGAGTAATTGTCCCACTTTTCAACTTTGGTTTAGAATATGCCATTAGGAGGGTCCAGGGAAACCAGGTGGGACTGTAATTAAATGGACCACATCAGCTATTGGTCAGTGCTGATGATGTGAATCTACTATGTGATAACATAGGTACCATAAAGAGAAACACACAAACTCTAATTGACACTAGTAAGGAAGTTGGTCTAGAAGTAAACGCTGAGAAAACTAAGTATATGTTGCTGTCTCGTCAACAGAATGCAGGGCAAAATCATGACATGAAGATAGGTAACAGATGCTTTGAAAATGTGGCACAGTTCAGATATTTGGGAACGAGTGTAATATCAAAATTTGTTTCAGAAAAAAATTAAAATGAGTTTGAATTCAGGTAATGCTTGTTACCATTCAGTCCAGAACCTTTTGTCTTCTCGTCCGTTGTATAAAACATAAAAATTTGAATATACAAAACTACAGTTTGGCCTGTGGTTCTGTATGGGCGTGAAACTTGGTCTCTGACATTAAGGGAGGAAGACAGGCTGAGGGTGTTTGAGAACAGGGTGTTGAGGAGAATATTTGGACGAAGAGAGATGAAGTGATAGGGGGTTTGAGAAAACTGCATAATGAGGAGCTTCATAACTTGTACTCTTCTCCAAGTATAATTGGAATGACCAAGTCAAGGAGGATTGGATAGGCATGGCATGTAGCACGAATGGTGGAGAAGAGGAATGCGTATAGAATACTACTGGGAAAGCCAGAAGGAAACAGACCCCTAGGAAGACCAAGACAGGTGGGTGTACATATTAAAAAGGATCTTAGAGAGATAGGATGGGATGGTATGGAGTAGGTTGATCTGATTCAGGATAGGGACCAGTGGAGGGCTCTTATGAACACGGTACTGAACCTTCGGGTTCCATAAAATGCTGGGAAGTTCTTGAGTAGCTACACAGTTGGCGACTTTTCAAGAAGGGCTCAGCTCCCTGAGTGAGAGTAGTTATCCTGCAATACAAATAAAGTAAACATTAACAAGTGATCATATTATAAATATCATATGAACATTTCCCCAGATTATATTAAAGTTTCTACGTAGGAAATATTTTTCTCTTCCTTACTTTAAAAATGTTCATATCACATATAAAATTTTCTGCAATATTTCACCGACTTTCTCTTAAAGTGGTAACTATCCTGAGTGGTTAGTGTCAGTTAAATGTAGGTAATTTGTAGTAGGTGCGGGTGTAACCGTGAACTGTAAAGTGTGTAGATCAGCGATAGCGCTATAACTACCTCTATCCCGAAATATGTAAAGCAGATAGCAATAAATCCAACCATCCAATCCAAAACGTGTCTTATAACTCACGCGCAAACCGTTTACACGTGACAGTAGTGTAAATGCCATTATCATTTTTACGTCATGCTAAGTTGATATCAGTGTAGTTTTTAATGTCTGTTTATTTGTTCGTGTCTAAGAACATCATAAGCTGAATTTGATTTAAGTCCATTAATCAAGCACACAAGCACTGGGACACAAAACGTATATGGCGGATTATGTTCCAAGTTTCCTTTTCTGAGGCCAGCATGCCAATAAAAGAGAGACTTTACGAAGCCCTTCTACGAAAATAAACGTGAAGATGCAAGGACTAGTAAGTTTCTTCCTGTGATTTCTCTGGTGTTCCTAAGGGAAATCGCAAAGGATTTTCACTCCAGGGTAGCCAGTCCAAAGAAAATGTTGCGATAACAAATATAGCTGTTTATTCTTTGTTGACAATCATATTTCTCAGTTGAAGATTACGGCTTTCTGAGTTGTATGCCATGTAATTCGAAAAGGCCCCGACATTTCGGAGGAACTTATGACCTCCATTTTCAGGGCCAAAAAGTAAGCCAAGTAACAAACCAGTACAGGCAGGCAAAAAGCTCAGCTTTTTTCTTGTTTGACTTACTTTTATACCCCGAATCCGAAGAACTAAATGTTCTTCCGAAACGTCAGGCTCTGACTGAACGACAGGCGTTTCAATCCAGAAGACAGAGAGAGAGCCTAAAATTACCACGTCCTGTCAGTTGTTTTTTATTGAGTAGATGAAGCTGTGAGCATTTTTCTGTAATGTGACGGCGAAAGAATTTATGCCATTTACAGGAAGTCAGTCACAGCATACAGCATTTTCACCTGACCAGAGAACTTTCGCTTCGCAACACTAAACATATTCCTTTTGCATACTTCTGATTGGCAGTTAATGAAATTGTTGTTTCAAGTGGACGTCACCAGTTGGATGCCAATAACTTTATTCTTGAAGAAAGCAGTCTTCTGGGATTTGGCACCGTATATACACGGTGCCAAATCCCAGAAGGCTGCTTTCTTCCTAGTCACCGCAGTGAAAGCCTCAAATCTTACAACTTTATTCGTGTCTGTACAAAATTATAAATAATCATGATTTTGTCAGGGGAGAACAAGCTGGACATAATCTGGCATACGATACACCAGTCTGATGTCAGCAGAGCTGCATTACGAGCAGCCTGGCTGCAGTCTTCCTCATTTTTTTTTCTTGTCACTACAGCCCCAGTGGGCCTAGGCCTACATCCATGAACTTTGCCGTTCACTTCGGTTTTTCTAGATCTTAGATATACGGTAGGACTCCTTGGGCGGGTGATCAGCTCGTCGCAAGGCCTCTACCTGTAAACAAACACAGAAAAACGCACACGAACATTCATGCCTGAGTGGGATTCGAACCCACGATCCCGGCTTCCGAGCGAGCGAAGACAGTGCATGCCTTAGACCACTGGGCTACCGTGACCCGCTCGCAGCCTTCCTCATACTAAATTGTAATAATCGTGACTCCACATATCGCTTTCCGAATTCAAGAAGTTATTTCTTAGCCAGTTAGGGTATATCAGAGCAAATCTGAATCACAGATGTCCTGGAAACAGTTTTATGCAGCTGATCCATCTCAGGCAGCAAGATTAGACCCAATATTGTTGTGGTTTGAACCAAGTACAGCGTAAATAAATGTAAATTTGAGGTAAAGTTTTGTGCTGACTTCTTTAATTATTTAAGAAGCCTTTATAACCCTTACTTCATCTCTGGAACCCAAATTCTCGGCCAGTCATATTTATGCTACCATGTTATGACAGACTGGCACACTAGGTTAGGCAAGCCAGCGACCACTTTGTAGTTCCTCACCTAAATAGTAAAGCCGTTGTCCTATGAGATATTGGCAGCCTATGTAGTGGATATCGCTTTCGAATCCTGTCTGTGTTACCGCCTCTTCAGAAGGTTTCCTGACTCCTTGTCATCCCTCTGGGCGATTGTTAGATTCCACATGTAATTGTTTGGAATGGATCATATCCGCGTCCTTTCAAATCCTTCCTTTTCACCATCTTTCCGTTTTATCGACAGTATGAAGGGCTGCAGTAGAAAGTGTATCGTCCCTCATGTAGCTCTGGCATAAGCTGAATGCCTTGTTCCTGATTTAAATCACAGAACTGCCACGGGTAGTGTCACTGGAAATTGTAACTTTGTGGGTTGACCAAGTCTCTAGAAACTCTGCATCACCTGCCCCCATAACCGGTTGTTACGGCCCAAGTTCAAAATTTTTACTTTACTTGACAGGTGTTTAATTTACAAAGGGACCATTATACAGCCCCACGTTGGTCAATAAGTGTAAATACGTATTCATCTGAACCTTTCAGAACAAAATATAAAGAGAAATTATTCAGACAAGGGAATCGTCAATATTATGTTACGATTTTCTTGATCGTGTTTGAAAACACCATCTTGACATTTGCCCTGACAGACTGCGGAAAATCGCGATAGAGTAACTGGAAACTGCCGAAATTTGAACTTAGTACTCCTAGAATACACGTCTGGTCTGCGCACTTCCTGTGTCCATTCCTGTTCGCTCAGGCAAGCACGTTCTCATGGAAACACGCACAGATGCATACACTAGGGGTTACGGTTCGCGTACTCACAATCCAAACATAATATTCAGTGTTGAGAACATCTAAAATTCAGCTTTCAGGAAGATCTTTTAGATAAGAATTTTTAGAAAATGGCAGCAGCTATTGTCAGGTAGAATGCTGTTAACAGATCCACCTACCTGCAGAATTAGGAAACCCACTACCTGAAAGCAGCGCTTGCAGCGCACTGTCGGCACACTGTGTTGCCGTAGTCTCATTCGGAACCGTTACGGTGTTATTGTAAGGGTTTTCCTGAATATGGCAGTTGCATGAAGTGTGCTGCAGCATA